TAACAAACTCTACTCACATGTGATGCTGAGTCCAGGAATCAAACCCAATTTAGACCCAGGAGAAAAACCCTTGAATCAAGGGAGAGACCTTAGAAAACTCTACTAACATGCGATGCCAAGTCTATGGATCCAACCCGAGTCATCCCCGCTACACCACCCTTGATTAATGTCATTGGAATTAAAACTTACCTTCGAAGGCAGGCAGAAGTGGCATCACTACTATGACTCTGAAACAAGCTTGTTCACTGTAACACAAGAACCAACAGAACACCATAACTTTCATCTCAGAATTTATTTCCCGTGCGGAGCGCGGTAATTAACATGACCAACCAAATAAACTGTTTAATGCGTTAGTTAGACGTACGGTGTTCAAGTTACTTATATTTTTCTAATCATTTAAGCTTTACACAACAACACAGGCCAAACCAGTTTCAGTTATTTTGGTAAAACAAAGTTAATATACCCTTCCCTAATTCGCTTGAGTAACTACGAAACAGTGGCTCCAAGTATTCACACATTTACTGTATTTTAACAAGTACAACCACGACTCGTGGTGACTCAAGGATATTCGGGAAAGGTCTATTAGTTGGTGACAGTGTCACTTATATGATGAGAAAAAAAAGTATCTTACTTGTGTGCTTTTTCGATTCTCAACAGGATAGCGTCACCAACTGCATTCATAATTCCTTCTGATGCAACACTTGTAATAAAGAACTGATTCTGAGGGCAGAAAATGTGTAGTCATTACTGGCTTATTTAATACCAATCACTTTGAAGTCGGCCATTTTTGATTTAGCCAGAGGGGGGTTCTCCAACCGCAGGAATCCCATGAATGAGAAACACTGCGGCGAGAAAGCCACTGAAACCCAAGATATTTCAGATCATCTGTCATTCCCTAGAGTATCATTACTTTGTTTAACGATTGCCCATAAGACACATGAATATGGATACAACTCAAACAAATAATCTTATTCTCAGAGAATGACGCAGAATGAATGGTCTGAAAAGGGAAAACATTACGCCCAAGATAAAGAGGTAGTAGAGGTCTATTGATGGAAGTCTTACATGCTGGTTATATGGCTTTAGCATAATGGTTAGCATCTATTCATCGTTACCTCAATATAAATGTAATGTTTAGCATTATGTATGGTATCTAAGTATGCTTGCATAATCGACATTTCAGTTGGAATACCTCCGGACCATTTACTGAGAGACCGAAGAATCTGGAAAATAAGATGATATAGTTAAGGGTTATAGACCTTGAGGGGACTGTGGGTGGGTTTCTGGATTGCACAATATTGCGCAATGATGAAAATTGAAATGAGTGAGCTTAAACATTCAACATTTTTGTTGAAGTCATATACAGTTTACGCCTTTAGACTTTACCTTTAACTTAAAAAATTGTAAATATGATGGGCGGTTGCCAAAATACAAGAAAATATATCGACAATAATTCTGTTGAGATGAGAACCAATTGTTAAGCTTAGATCTGCTACGCTGGTGGCTAAAGAACGGATTCGCCTCACCTGACAATTGACAGTACTTGCTTTGGTGTCTTGGGGAGCTTCGTTTCGAACGTTGTTGTAAGACTTTGGTAACAAGAAAGGGATGTGTTCTATTTGTTTCACCTTCTCGAGCTGGAAGAATATAACAAACATGAAGATAACTTAACTAGCAAAAATAGTGAGATATGTTTTCTCCCTTTTTTTTTTTTTTTTTTC